GAGCTAGGATTATAGGCCAGTGCAACCACACCTGGCTCAGTGTAACTTTTGTATCTGTCTTTTTTTCATTTAATATTTATAAAAGTCATCCAAATTATTGGGTATAGGTATAGTTTGTTCATTCTCATTGCTTTATACTTTTGCATTGTAGGAATGAATAGATTGAATGTATAATACTTTATCCATTCTTGTTGGTGGACTTGTGAGTTGTTTGTTTCTAGCTACAGTGACATTTTGGCAAACTTATGTGTGTATTTCTGTTGGGAATACACCTAGGAATAACAGAGCCAGATCTAGGGCTCTAGATTTATTTATTAATAGACATTGCAAAATGTCTCCAAAGCAGTTGCAACAATTACATCTTACCAGCAGTGTATAAGGGTGCTAGTTACCCTATGTCTTTACTAACACTTTACGTTCTCAGTCATTTTCCTTTTGGCCATTCTGGGGGACATACAGAGGTACTGCATTTTGGTTTTCATTTGCAATTTCCTGGTGACTGATGAAGTTCTTTTTACATATTGGCCATTCAGGTATCCTCTCTGTCAGGCATTTGTTCTTATTTTTATTTGTTTGATCTATTTATTTCTGAAACAAGAATACTAAAACCACCCACTAAATTTGTGGGTCTGTCCATTTATTGTAGTGCGCATATCAGTTTTGGCTTTATATATTTTGAGGCTTTGTTGTTAGGTTCATATTTGTTTCAAAATATGAAAAATTTGTTTAAAAAAAGTTACAACTTTTTTCTAAATTATTTCTTTTGTGACTGTTCTTAATACTTGTCAAAGCTTTATGAACAACTTTTTCTTTTTTTTTTGAGGTGCTGGGGTTTGAACTCAGGGCCTACCCCTAGAGCCACTTCACCAGCCCTTTTTTGTGATGAGTTTTTTTTTTTAAAATAGGGTCTCACAAACCATTTGCCTGAGCTAACTTCAAATTGTACTTTTCCTGCTCTCTGCCTCCTAAGTAGCTAGGATTACAGGCATGAGCCACCGGCACCCAGCTATAAACATTTTTCTTGATATTAATATTGCTCACCAACTTATATTTTGTTTCACTTGGCTGCTTTTTAAATTTTTTTGGTGGGACTGGTGTTTGAACTCAGGGCTTCACGCTTGCAAAGTACACATTCTACCACTTGAGTCACTCCTCCAGGCCATTTTCCTCTGGTTATTTTGGAGATGGGGTCTTGAGAAGTATTTGCCCAGTCTGGCTTCAAACTGGGATCCTCTTTATCTCAGCCTCCCAAGTAGCTAGAATTGCAGGCATGAGCCACCGGTGCCTGGCTGTTTTAATTTTTGTTTTAAATCTAACGAAGGAAACTTTTGATAGTCAAGAATGATCTGTATGCATTTACTATGATTGTTGTGTAATTGGAGTTATATTTGCCGTCTTACTTTATATTTTCCTTGCTTTGTTTCCCTACTATTACCTCACCCCTTCTGTTTCTTCCCTTATTTTTTTCACTCTATTCATGTGAAAGTTTTGTTCATTCTATTTGTGTTATATGGCATTTACTTGTGTGTGTGTGTTTAAAACGTGTACTTAGCTTTAAACCTACAAGTAACAATTCCCACCTTCTTCTGGGCAAATACATATATAGACGGCTTTAACATTGAACTGTTCTTTCCTATCTTCCATTTAACTGCTAATATTTTAGTTCTTTATTTTAACCCCTCGAACACTAGTCATCATTATCATTACAGAAATTTTTGCAACAAATATTTGTATTTTTCTCACCATTGATACATCTCATACTTCCTTTCTTGGTTCATTTTCCTTCTTGTGAAGTACATCCCTAAGTATCTCTTTTTGAGTGAAGGCATGTGAGGAGTGAACTCCATTTCAAAATGTCTCTGTACGTCTGAAAACACTTCTATTTTACATTCATTTTTGAAGAAGTCTGGCATGCCTACCTGTGGTGGTGTCCCTGCAGAAGTTTTAGTTTTGTCTTTTCTGGGATCCTGTAGGTTTCTCACATTTAGTGTAGTTTTTATGTTAATCTTTCTGCTTGGGAATCCCATACCACCTTGGTAGTATGACTTGGACCCTACGCTTGTATGTGATGTAGGGTTAGGATTCAGATTTCTCTCACTAGTTTTTTTCCATTTGTGGCCTGAAGCAGTTGGCTAGCTTTCTTCTAACTAACTCCTTAGTAGAATTTTCAGGCCCTATTTCAAAAACATGTCAGCCCTTTGAAGTCCCAGAATTATGCACTGTTCGAGTTCCCTGCATCATGCTTCTAAGACCTCACCTGGCCAGGAGAGGAGTATCCTGAATGTTCCAGCTAGTGCTGACCTTCAAGCTCGGCTCCTGTTTCCCACTTGAGCTTTGAGTTACAATTCTGTTTAGTGGACCTAAGGATTTTCCTTTATTGCTTTTTTTTTTTTTTTTCCCAATACTGGGGCTTGAACTCAGGGCCTACACCTTGTGCCACTCCACCCTTTTTGTGATGAATTTTTTCGAGATAGGGTCTCTTGAACTCTTTGCTTGGGCTGGTTTTGAACCGTGTTCCTCTAGAGCTCTGCCTCCTGAGTAGCTAGGATTACAGGCATGAACCACCTGAACCAGCTTCCTTTAATGCTTTTTATATACTAAATTATTTTTATTCTGTTTTATTGAATGTGTCCTTGTGTTCACTGTTGTGTAAGGCATTTCCCTTGTTGGTCTTCCATATTGACCAGAAGTCATCTTTCTGAACCTTAATATGACCTTGTTACTCCCTCACTTGATTTTTGCCAGCTTGTTAGCTTCATTTATTTATCCAACAAGTATTTATTGCATGTGTTCTCTGGGCTAAGAATGAGGGGTAGCATGATGAGAAAGACCTAAAGTTTCTGCCTTCATGAGGTTACTATTCTAGTTGGAGAGTCAGAATGTAAACTTGTAAGCAAATGAATAAAATGTTAACTCCAGGTGCTGAGAGTGTAGCTCAGTGGTAGAGCACTTGCCTAGTATCCATGAGGCTCTGGATTCAATACTCAGCATTAAAGGAAAAAAAAAGTTACTAGTGATGGAGAGTTAACTCTTTTGGAGGGTTTAATTTAAGTGGATGGTTAGGGAAGACTTCCCTGAGGAAGTGAATTCCTTTTCTAAGGAAGCCAGGTTTAGAAAGATGAAGAGAGGCCAGTTGTGCAAATAGCAGAGGGCATGTTGGGGATTGAGGGTTGAATCCAGGCAGTGGAACCAGCAAAAACAAAGACCCAGAGACAGGAAACATCATGCTAGAATTACTGAGATAAACCCATGAAAGAGTTCCACAGCAGAGATAGGCCAGTGGGAGACAGACTCTGCTCCTACTGGGCCATCTTGTCACATTGATTCTTCCTAAGAGTGCTGGTGCAAGGTGCATCCTTTGGAACCCTTTCACTATCTCGGCTCCTGCTGCACTTTGCTTTACCACTTACCAGTAGATCATATGATTAGTTGTTTACACCACATTGTTCCCTAGTAGACCTTAAGCTTCTGCCAGAAGATGTGTCTTCTTTACCCTTGTCATCCCCAGCCAGAAGCACAGTACTTAACATGGTAGGCATATCATGAATCTTCATAGAAAAGATTTTTTTTTTCTTTTTTTCAGCAGTTCATGCTTAGAGCCTGTTTTCCAATAACTTTACAACAGAACATCTCAATCTGTCTTCATGGTATTTAAATTGTCAGGTAAAGAAAAACAGCAACCTAAGAAAGAATATACTTAAGACTTGTCTCTAATACTAAAAGGAAAATCAAGAAGTACTGTAGTACCGTGTTTCCTTGTAGTAGGTTGAATGGTGATCTCCAAAAGATACGACCACAACTAACCCCTGGAGTCTGTGACTGTTTCCTTATTTTGCAAAAGTGTCTTTGCAGATATAATTAAAGATACCATGACAAGATTATTCCAGATTTTTTTTTTTTTTTTTTTTTGGTACTGGGACTTGAACTGAGGGCCTTCACCTTGAGCCACTCAGCCAGCTCTATTTTTGTGAAGGGTTTTTCGACATAGGGTCTCATGGAACTGTTTGCCTGGGCTGGCTTTGAACCATGATCCTCCTGATCTCTGCCTCCTGAGTGGCTAGGGTTACAGGTGTCAGCCACTGGTACCCAGCATATTCCAGATTATTTGAATGGACTTTAAGTGCAATGAAAAGTATCCTTATGGTAGGCTGACAAGCAGACAAAGGCATGTGGAGATGGAGGCAGATATTGGAGTTGTGAGTCACAAGCCAAGGAACGCCTAAAGCCACCAGAAGCTAGTAAGAAGTAAGGAAGTCTCCTCCCTTAGATCCTTTACGGGGAGCACGGCTCTATCAACACCTTTATTTTGAACTGTGACTTCAAGAACAGTGAGAGAATGAATTTCTGTTGTTGTAAGCCACTAATTAGGAAACTAACCATACTCCCTTGCAGTTACACAATACTTACCTCCTCTGTTACACAAATATAATAATACCTTCCTAGGAACCTATTACCGTGATTAAATGAGATAGGTTTGTAAAGTACTTAGCACATAATAAATGTTCAAAAACAAGGGCTGGAAGTTTTCTTCCAGAATACTCAATGATAGAGTAGAAATTTCTGTCTTGTGATTACTGGGTGAGTCAAAGTTCATACCATGGAGGCAACCAGAACTTCAACTTCTGCTGTGGTCCTGGAGCTGCCAGGCCCCGGTGCCTTCTAGCAATCCTTGGTTAAGGGTTTGTAGTGAGCAAGGGTTCAGCTTTCTATCATGGGCTTGGGTGGAGGTGGGGAGAAGAAGTCAAATGAGAACTCAAAGACCAAGTTTGAAATGACACAGGAGGAACAGAAAGCAATCTCTCAGTCCCTGCCACAAAGAAAGCCTTTGCGTTCTAAATTTCCACTTCCTATTAAGGGACTCTGGGACAGAGCATTCCTGAAAATTAAAGACCTGTAGCAAGGGATCCTCCTAACACACCAATCATCAAAATGTCCCCCATATTGAGTTCAAGCTTTCTCTCTATTTGTCTGAACCCCAGGAGCAGGCGTGGGCAGGAGCCCAGCTAGAGTATCAGCTGATGCTTCTGCCTACCCAAATGGCTGGCACAGTACTGGGAGTGGGTGCTGGTGTGTTCGTCCTCGCCCTGCTCTGGGTATTGGTGCTGCTGCTGTGTGTGCTGTTATCCAGAGCCTCCGGGATAGCTAGGTAAGGCATTCTTTTCAGCTGGGAGTCCTAGGTAAAAGCAATTAGAGGCGAAATCACTGACACTCATTAAACATTTAGAATTCAAAAGATCATTTTTGTAATTACTGGCAGTTTGAATGAGTTGCATTTTAACCTCTTATCATAAGCACTAACTGCGTTATTTATGCTCTGAGGCAGAGGTGGGAGGAGAAGGGAAGTGTATTTTTCAGTTCTTACTGTGGAGGAGATGGTGGGGAGAGACAAGAGATGACAAGAAAATCTGCTTTCTCTGCCTATTGAATTTCTTAGGGATTGTACGTGGGAGTTTTCCTTAATTGTTAAGATGTGTGGCACATGCTTGGTCCAGCCCCTAAGTCTCTAAGCCTGGGCCCAGGGAAAGTAAAAAAGCATTTAGTGAGCAGGGCCGGCCCTCTATGTGAGGTATTTTTCAGAACAGAGGCCACGAACTGACCCTGAAAACACTCCAGAGTTGCATTCGGGAGAGAAAGTGTCAAAGAATTACAGAATTTATAAAAATATTGTGGCCTAAAAACAACTGAAGTGGGTGTGGGGCAGGGCTGCTCTGATGTTTCTTAATTATGACTTATAGAAGTATAGATGAAAAACTAGAACTCATATTGTTAGGAATTTGGAATTATCAGGAACAAATAGAAACATGCCCAGCAGGTATCTGTCTAGGAAGAAAGATTTTAAGATAGAGGGGGTTGTGGATAACAGCTCACTGAACATCGTTAAGGATTGAAATATAGAATGTTGACCCTAGGGAAGAGCCAGGCCAAGCCCAACTGGTTAAAGAAACTGTAAATAGAGCTTTTACTACCTTGTCTCTTTGCCCCAGGTTCTCTGTCATTTTTGTATTCCTCGGTGCTCTGATCATCACGTCAGTTCTGTTACTTTTCCCCCGAGCCAGTGAACTCCCAACCCCAGAGGTCGAAATAAAGGTAAAGCTATTGGTTTCATTTTGCCTACGTCCTGCCAGAGATGTGTTAGCACTGCATCTTTCAAACAACAATGAAGGAAGCTCAGAGGGAGTTTTAAGTCCTGTCTCTTTACCCAGAAAAAGAATCTTCTGATCCCATCTGCAACACCACAGACAGTGATTGGCTTGATTTGGTCCCATCTCCAACATGAATCAAATTCAACAACAGGGTGTTGAAAGGCCACCTCCTACTATGGGGACAGAAAAAGAGAAAATGAGTCAGGAATGGGAATAGGCTTGCTCCTGATGAGAAGTATTCCCACTGGTAGCCTGGCTCAGAACCTTAGATCTTGGGCTGAAATTGACCTTACGCCTTCAGCGTGCTGAGAGGCATAATTTGCCATCACCCTGTGATAGACTTTTTCCAGTTGTGATGTGGACAAAATCATTTCCATAAAGAAGAGCTGTGGGAAAGAAGTATTTCTATGGGAAATGGAGGGTATTGGATTCAATACTAACAATTCCTTTGGTGCTCCTTCCTGGGACCACATCTGCCAGCACCCACCACTATAAATAAATTTTTATTACCTCTCTCATTAGTCCTTTTCTAAAGACCTCACCCATTCTAGTTCATTCCTGATTTGGGGCTTTGCCATGCATGGCTGGTCTCAGACCTACAGGATCTTGATAATGGTATTGACTTCTGCCCCATTACGCCTTCTCATAGCCTTCTCTTTCCTCTCAACATCCATTTTAATTTTTAAGTAGCAGTGATGATAATAGCTAACATTTCTTAAAGGATTTCTGTATGCCAGGTTCTGTGCCAAGCATGTTATTTGCATTATCTCATTTAAACCTCTGGCCATCCCTAAGTAGTATGAAGATTATTACTATCCCCATGTTATAAGTAAGGACACTGGGGACTGTAAGGGGCTCAAGTAACTCGCCTAAGGTTGTATATATCCAGGAAGAGGCACAGTAAAGATTCAAGCTGAGGTCAGTCTTTAAAATCTTCATTGTTGGGGCTCAACAAAATAAAAGGGGCCATCCCACAGATCTCATACATTATCGATTTGATACTAGACAAAAGTCCACAAAATTATATTCCTTTCGAACCAAAGTGGACACAATCTACCTAGGACTAGCCTAGGTAGAAATTAGTCCTGAAAACTCTTAAAGGAAATTATACTACCCATACAAATTCAAGGAATTTCTTCCATGGATGCCAGGGGTTTTTTTTGTTTGCATTTGGCAACCACTCTGAACGCATAAGTACCATGTGTGTGAGTTAGGGGTAAATTTCCACCCTGATGTCCTTGTCTTTTAAGAGGCATGAGTGATGTAGGCTGCTATATTTCTAGACTACTGCAGATGTGACTGTTAGAAGAAGGCACGAAGCAAATACTATTTTGAAATCAGTCCCCCTCTTGTCTGTCATATGAGTTTCAGACTCAGGAGAGAATGGGGTTTGAGCAAAATCTGTTTATCAGCATGGCCAGCAGAATTCAAGTTCTTATTTTCAGGTTTTGAGAGCTGGCCCCTCTAGCAACCTGGCTCAGTACTGTATCAATAATACATGGCCTGGGCCTTCTGCACCCAAGGCCTGCTAATTGGCTAATTAAAAAGTGAAACAGTCGAATGAGCAAACATGTAGCCCGCAAGAGACTTGCTCAAAGTACTGGAGCCAAGGTCAAAGTTATGTTAAAGCTGTTTTATCAAACTGACCTTTGTTGTAAGTTGAATGTTGGGGTAATCTCTGGAGCAGCTGGGGTGTCTGCAGCCTTCTTCTTCTTGGTATCTTTGGATTCATGGGTCATACCAGTGCTTGGATTTGCCGGGTACTTTGTGTTTCAACATTGTATTAGTTTTCTATTGCTGCTTTAACAGATGACAGCAAACATAGTGACTGACAACATAAAATTATTATCTTACAGTTCTGTAGGTTAGAAGTCCAAAATCAGTCTCACTGGCCTAAAATCAAGGGGCCATCAGGACTGCGTTCCTTTTTGCTGGAAGTGGTTCCTGGGAGAGAACCACTTCTTTACTCCTCTAGACTTAGAGGCTGCCCCTAGTCCTTGGTTCACAGCCCCCTTCCTCTGTCTTCAAAGCCAGCAGTGTCACATTTCACAGATACTACTTCCATCTCACATCTCCTTTGACCATCTTTTCTGCTTCTTTAACTTTTAAGGATTCTTGTGATTACATTAGTCCAAGATAGGTTGGATAATCCAGGTAAATCTCTGTATTTTAAAGTCAGCTGTTTGGCAACCTTAAGTCCCCTTTGCTATGTGATCTAATATTCACAGTTAGATGTGAATTTCTTTTCTTTTCTTTTTTTCAGTACTATGGTTTGAAATCAGGGTCTCATGCTTGCTAGGCCAACCATTCTACCACTTGAACCATGCCCTCAGACCTTTTTGCTTTTGGTTATTTTTGAGATAGAGTCTCACAGTTTTTGTCCAGGGCCAGCCTGAATTGTACTCCTACTTATGCTTCCTACAGAGCTGGGGTAACAGGCATGTGCCACCACACCCAGCTCTTTGTTGTTGTTGAGATGGGATCTCACTAACTTTTTTGAGACTGGCCTCAAGCCATGATCCTCCTAATCTGTACCTACCAAGTAGCTGGAGTGATCCACTATATCCAGGTGTGATCCACTGTATCTAGCCCCAGTGTGGACAATGTGTTCTTCTATGACAGTTGCCTCTTTAGGTATTTTGGATTCCCTTTTACATATGGTTTTCAAGGCTTCTGTAAGGTCAGTGACTTAGTTTTTGCTGCTGCTCCATTAGGTCTGTACATTAAATTGTTTTTTCCTGCCTAATTTTAAGCACCACCATTTGGGTCTGGGGAGAGCAGAGCTCTGGCAGTAAATAGCAGAGCAGTGGATACAGCCAACACCAATTACAGGTTTCTGTCAGCAAAGATCATTAGAAATGGGGCATCAGTATGACTGGTTACCAGGCAGCCAACTACATGATTTGGGGCAAGTTACTTGTCCTCTGAGTATTTTAGTACCTCAGGAAAGTGGCTATTTTCCCTCTCCCTTGGGATGCTGGGTAATGAATGTTGGGTTGAGAACTCTTCTGATAAAAGCTTTAAACAGTCACCTCATTTTGAAAATGAACTTTTCAGAACCACAGTGGTTTGATGATTTCCAGGGTTTGGTCTTCGTGGGAGTTTGTTATATTTTAACGTATGTTTAAAATCCTCCATAAAAAAATGTTTTAATATCAAGAAAAATAAGACTTTCTAGGGCGAAGTCACTTCTCATTAACTTTTTCAGATAACTGATTTCACAACTCATCCAGGGACTTTAAAACATTTATGAGTCTCCTAAATTGAGTCATTTGTCTCCTATACCTATCAATCCTCTCTTTACCTTGTACCTCCTACTCAAATTGCTAAGAGGGAACCCAGGGCAGGATGTTACTGGAAGTTACAAATATGGAGCATTCATCACAGATTTCAGATTAACACAGCCAGGGCACTGGAATGGCAGTGAGTGCATTTTGATGTTTTCTTCACCCAGATTGTGGATGCCTTTTTCATTGGCCGCTATGTCCTGCTGGCTTTTGTCATCGCTGTCTTCCTTGGAGGCCTCTTCTTGGTTCTAACTCATCATGTCCTGGAGCCAATCTATGCCAAACCACTGCGGTCCTACTGAGCACTTCGGGAAAACTGTGACTCTGTTCTCTCCTTCATTTTGATGTCATCACAAGCAGAAAAGGACGCTTCAGAGCCTTGTTTTGATGGCCTTCATGTCTTCAGACCAAGGGAACACGCATGCACCACTAAGACAAATCTCTTGAGCCCTGGCTTCCAGAAACAGTGTTGCAAAATTGATCCTGTGGGCAGAGATTCTTACCTGTTCTTCAGGATTTCCATCTCTTTTGCAAGGGAAATTACAATAGTGACTGCTCAAAGCAGATTTTCATTCAAATTGTAAGTAGTAGATTTTGGTGAAAGGATTTTTGATGTCTTGTCCACCCTAAGAACCTAGTCTTGTTTGGTAATTTTTAACATTCTTAGTTATGAGGTTTGGAAAGGAAATGTATTCAAATTAAAAAGGTTATTAATGTTATAATTTGGAAGATGTATTTATGTGTTGGGTATATTTCCCCAGGACTATAAAAGCAACAGGTGTCACTTCCTTCTGCTCTAATAAAGCAGTAAACAACAACCAAAGGGCTGACTTTCACTTTATTTAAACTCTTGGCACATCTTTCTAAAGCTAGTATTTTTTATTTTATTTTTGGTACTGGGGTTTGAACTCAAGGCCTACAACTTGAGCCACTCCACCAGTCCTTTTTTGTGAAGGGTTTTTTCGAGATAGAGTCTTGCAGAACTATTTGTCCGGGCTTGCAAGCCTCCCGATCTATGTATGCCTTCTGAGTAGCTAGGATTACAGGCATGAGCCACCGGTGCCAGGCTGAAGCTAGTATTTTATATTTCAGTTTTGCTTGGAGATTAGAGGAAAGGCAGGGAAATGTTTATCTGTCTTCTTGCCATATATCTCTGGGTTCTTTTCCTTCAGGATTTGGTGGACTCTCTGTACCTTATTTATAAGAGTCCATTTGGGGTTATAATCCTCTTTTCATCTTTTTTTGTTGTTGTTTTTTGTAGGGATTTTTGAGGCAAAGTCTCACTGTGTAGCCCAGGCTGGCCTCAAAACTCTCCATCCTTCTACCTCAGCCTCGCAAGTGCTGAGGTTACACACCACCCATCTTTGTAGCTCTCTCCAAACCTAATAAGGAATGTATATTCTTGCATTAGATTATAACTTTACACCTAACTGATCTCCCAGACCAAGTTCAATTTGTCACTTAATGAATTCTGGTTTTGTCCCACTTTGGAAATGTCATCCTGAATACTTAAAGCTATTTAAAGAAGAATTTTCTGGCTCAAAATTAAGATCCAAGAGAACAAGTTGGAAAGATTGATTAAATATGCTCTATTTGTCAGTATTCTAATTCCTTGAAGTTTAATTCATTTAATTTTTATAACAATCTATTTATTAGCCCCATTTTAAAGTAGAAAAAAATGAGGTTTGCAGGGATTAACTAACTCACCCAAGCTTCACACAGTGGACAAACCTAAATGTGACAGATTCCTGGTCTTGTCTTGAACTGGAAGAAAACCCACTAAGTTTTGTAGAACTGTGGTTGAAAGCTTGAGGGAGGCTAAAACCACTTCTCCTTTGCTTTCTCTCCTGGATAGGAGAGACAAGCCCAGTCTTGCTACTGCAAACTAAATGACAGGAGGGAAGAACTAGTGATCATTAAGAGTCAGGGTCTGGTTAGGGACAGTGTAGTTGTCCCGTCACTTAAGCTTCCCCTTCATTATCTTCTTCAGTTCAGGAAAGCTTTATAGATGAGGCCTTATTCAGAAAGCTTGAAAGGAAGTCGTTTCTTAATCTGGCCTAGAGCCAGTGGGTAAGAAGAGAATCATCCCTCAAGCAGATTGGAGGGGAACGGGGAGAATGTAGAAACATTGAAGGAGATGGGGCAGATTGGGGTTCACGCTGTCATGCTTTTCTGTGGACACCATGCTGAACTTCAGGTGCCGGTGAGCCTCCCTGTAGGGATGTTGAGCCAGCCCAAGTGGAACATGGATTTCTAACAACTACAGCCTGCCATTTGCCCCCTTCTCCTGAGAGTTGCTGATAAAGCAACTCTGGGAAAACTCTTACAGGTTTCTGATCAAAAAGGTATCCAACTGTTAGATCAATGAATAATAGCTGTGAGCTTTCAGGTGACTATTGACATGGAGAAAAATGTGTTAAAGTCAGAAAAACTAAATTCCTTCCCAAACTTCACTGCTATCTAGTGTATTATTTTTTTTTAAACCTGAGGTAAATGACAGGCTTATGTGTCAAAGGCCTACCATTAGGCCAAAAATACACTTTGTGCAAAGTGTATTTCAGCGTGGCCTGCCTTCTGTAGTTCATAAGTCTGTAATTACCAGCTGTGGTAGGATGAACAATACATCACTTTCTTCCTGCATATTCAAGGTAGTCACGTTCAACCCTAACCAAAAAAAAACCCATGGGGTTGGCACAGGAAATAGAAGCTGAGAGCGCTCAGAGTGAATTTCAGACTTCAGCATGGGGCATGCCTATACTCAATGTGTGTGTGCCATCTCATGCTCAGGGACTTTCTGGAGACAGGATTCAGAGTTATCCCTAAATATCAATAGGAGTCATCTTAGTATTCCATGAGCCATTCTCTGGTCTGTTCCCTGGCCAGAAACTGGTGATTCCAACTGTTTAGAAGGTGGAAAGGGAGAGCAAATCCAGGCTTCCCTGTGAGAAAACAGGTTATTTCATAACCTTCAATTGTATCCTGACAAGCTAAAGGATCTTAAAGATGCCACCCTACCCTAATAGAGATGTCTGTCCAATCTGTTAGGTTTCAGAAGTTTCTCAAACCAGCAAAACATACTGGCTAATTTTTTTGATAAGTTACTTGTTTCTCACATATAAAAATGGAAGTGACTTGTCTAGATAGCTTGAGGCCCTACATTCAAACCCCAGTATGACAAAAAAAAGGAAGTAAAACTAACATTCTTTTTTGATGCAGGTTTTCAGAAATTTAATGCTTACGAAGTATCGCAGCAATGATGAGGCTCTAACTAGGGATGCATAACAATTCCTTCATGCATATGATACATCCTGCCATTCATTCAGCACCGATTGTGTGAGCCGATTGGGGCATTTAGCTCTGGTCCTGGTGGAATAAGCCAACAGAAGGATCGCGCTGAGGTGTCTAGGTTGTCTTCCTAACTCCATCTTGGGGCGAAGGTATCCCAGTTATTTTTAAATGGCTTTATTCTAACAAAGTAATTTCTTATTTTGTTCTTCAAAATAAACTTTTCTATTTCCTTATTTCTGTTGCCAAGGCATTTCTGTTTCTTCTCAGCGTCTAAAGAAACATGCTGTTATTTTACAGATGAGAAAGAGGGAGGCAAAGAGATTTTAAAAGTTAGTAGTGACACTCAAACTTGGCATACTAGCCTCCCAGTTGATACCTCACATCTCATTTCTCAGTTCAAAGATCATTTTTTGGCTTTCAAACAGATCTTTTTTTTTTAAATTGGTTAATATCATATTTTAGCTATTTGTACCCACACATTTCCCTAACTCATATCCAAAAATGTAAAAGTTCAACTAAAGAACTCTAACATTTGAGTATAAATAACAAACATTTTAACTCCTTGGACTAAACCTTTAAGTATTTGGTTGTTACACAGAAACAAATTTCCAGATGTGGAGATCAGAACCATATGGGAACAGATCTGGGGAAGTATTCATTATCCTCAAAGGAGTGTAAAAATTCAGGATTGGAAGGGATTTTATAGTTCATAGACTTCAACCTTTAATCTCTAGGTCCACCCCCCAAATTTGGAAATAAGTGTACTTCACATCTTAAATCACAACTTTTATTTAATATGTGCCAGGCATTTTTGTAAGTGCATTGTAAGTACTGACTTATGTCATCATATGTCAGCTGTATGAAGAAGGTCTTCTTAGCATCCCCATTTCACAGATGGGAACAGGCACAGACTGCTGAGGTAGTTGGCATGCAATCACTCAGGAAGGGCTAGATAGGAGTCAGGATTTGAAGTCAAGCAGTTTGATTCAGTGTTTAAGCTCCTAACTCTTTTATATTATACCATGCTGCTCCATAAAATGAAAAAAGGAAAGGACCAAGTTCAGGCAACACAAATCCATTTAATAAAAACACCAAGGAGAAGCAGCTGATTCTTGTTGAAAATCCAGAGTCTTAGAAATTGGGTATGAGTTGGGGCAAAGCAGTTAAAAGATGCATAAGATCTGGGACATTGATCAACCCTGTGGTTTTGGCAGGTTTCTGTCAGACTGTGTCTTCTCCTTTACTTAGAGATACTAAACAATGGAACAGTCACCAGATGGAGTTTTCAAGATGGATGTAAAGGATGCTGTACCTACGTACTATGCAGCCATCCTCTCCACTTGTTTTAAGCTCTGGGGGTTTTGTTTTCCTGTGCTTTTCCCTGTCTTTAAATTGATCACATACCAGTTTTACACTGAATATGTTTATTAATTTCCTATGGCTTCTGTAAGAGATTACCACAAACTTAAAAGGAATTAGAACAATACAAATTTATTATCTTATAGTTCTGGAGGTCAGAATTCAGAAATGAGGGACTGGAGTCATGACTCAAGTCATAGAGCACTTGCCTAGCAAGTGGAAAGCCCTGAGTTCAATCCCCAGCACCACAAAAAAAAAAAAAGAAAGAAATGGATCAGAAATGAGTCATGGGACTAAGGATGAGACTCTAGGGGATAATCTGTTTCCTTGCTTTTTCCACTTTCTAGAGTTGCCCACATTTCCTGGTGTGTGGATCCTTTCTCTTTCTTCAAAGCTAGCAATGTAGCATCTGCCAACCTCTAACACTCCTGCCTTACTCTATGATTTATAAGGAGTCTTGTGGTTACATTGGATTCACCTGACAAACCAGGGTAGTATCCCCATCTCAGTATCCTTTGTCACATCTCCAAAGCTGCATTTGCCATGTAATGTAACATATTTACTGTTCTGAGATTTAAGATGTGGACATCTTTGGGGGAGGGAGACAGTTTATCTACCACAGAATATATGGCCCCATCTTCTACCCTTCTTCTACCCTCCATGCATCATCTCCCTACCCCTACAACTTTATGTGCAAGCTCTCTTGCTTTGTCTACTTCTCAGGTACCCATACAACAACTATTACCACCCCCACCATGGACCCCCATGTGTTGAATTCTTTCCTTCCAACCTGCATTAGTGGTATCCTTATAGCGATAAGCTCTATCAAGAGCTTCTTTTCCTTTCCATTTCTTCTTGCCTCTTTCTCCTCCCACAAAACCCCTCCTCACACACCATCCCAACCTCCCAATGGATCTCTAAAGGAGAACGCAAAGAGTTATTGCTTTTTAATTACAAGTGCTATTGTAGCATCTATAAGGAAGAACATTTTAAGCTTAATTGAGACCAAATGTGAAGTTAAATGAATAACTAATTAACGTAATGTTCCTGTATTAGCCCCGTGTGTGTGTGTGTGTGTGTGTGTGTGTGTGTGGAGGCCCAGAGAGAAGGCAGGTACAGGCCCTCTAGTGAACAGTCAGTGCCCAGAGCTCTCTCTCTCTCTGTGTGTGTGTGTGTGTGTGTGTGTGTGTGTGTATGAACAGTCAGTGCCCAGAGCTCTGTGTGTGTGTGTGTGTGTGTGTGTGTGTGAACAGTCAGTGCCCAGAGCTTTCTGTGTGTGTGTGTGTGTGTGTGTGTGTGTGAACAGTCAGTGCCCAGAGCTCTGTGTGTGTGTGTGTGTGTGTGTGTGTGTGTGTGTGTGTGTGTGGTGGTGGTGGTGGTGGTGTGGGGAGGGGGTTGTTGTGAGACCTGGAAGGCAAGTACAAAAGGGCAGATCTCAAGGCTGGGGATCCCTCAACCTTTGGTATTTTCCCCAACCCCCCACCTATAGTTCAAGCCAGACTCTGAGCCCCCACAGTCTTTTAAAAAGCATTCCTCTAGTGCTATACTTAGCTGCTGGTAGGAGAACATGGGTCTCTTTCAAGCCACAGTCCCTAACACTCCTAATGTAATAATACTTAACAAGTATGCATGTTAACTTCCCCACTTTTCCACTTCCTGTAACTACCAAATCAAACTAATCATTCATATCCTACGAATTCTTCCTTCATAAGCTGTTCACATTGCTTCCTCCCAGTGCCCCTTGGGATCACCACCCTGCCAGGCCCTTTCTCTTCATGGCTGGATTAATGAATGAATGGCATAGCTCTCAACTGGAGTCACTATCTCCATGATTTTTTTTTGTATTGCTTATAAACATTTTTATATTCCCTGTCTTACCCCCCTGCCAAGGAGACAAGGACAGGGAGTAGTGTTTAATACTTATTTTTCTCCCTTTAAACCAACCCTATAAGGTAGGGAATGTCATTAACACATTCGACATGAGGAAACAGATGGAAAGCTAGTAAGAGGTAAAGCTGGGGATGAGAAGACCACTAAAGAGCCATCCCTCCTACCCTGACCTTCCTGGACAGTTGGAAGTCCTTGAGTAGGACAGCAACACTGGCCACACTGGGCTACTACGGAATTGTACCACCATCTAGTGGCAAATAGAAGTAAAACATCTTTGCCTTAAGCCAGCCCCTCTTAAGTGATGTCAGATAAATCTTTCTGGTCTTGAGAGAAACATTTGTGAATGCTGAACATAATGCCATCAACATAACTCCTGCACCTCTGGGTTCTGAGGACTTAGAGGCTGCTGACTGACTGCTGTTTTCAGAGTCAAAGTGAGCATCAGGCATATAAATCTTACCTACTGCTATCAGAGCAGTGTTCAACTTGTTTCAACACTGAGGCCCACACAAAATCCCAGTAAATGCGATGATTATATCGTTAGGGGCTCTAGACTCCCAAGTGTGCTCCATGAGGAGCATGCCCTTTGGGAATGCCAGTTGTCACTAGCCCTAGCACAACCACCATGAGGTCCTGGGACACCCACTTCAACACCCCATATAAGCCCAGCTCACTACTGCTGTGCCAGGCCCTACCAAGAATGAGCACAGGCACAGTTGTCAAAGGAAATGTGTATTGGTGCTGATGGACAGCTGTAGAGGTCAGGCAGAAATGCCAAGAGTCAATCTGGTGTGTCACAACAGAACTCTGGATGGAAGGAGCTCGCACATCAGAACATGGGAGGTGGGGGACTGCAGATGGCGCCAAGCAACTGCACGTTAGCAGCTACTCCACTGAACCTGGCAGCACCCTCATTTCTTGATAGTCTCCTTGCCATGACACCTGTGCTTAGAGTGTAAGCCCTTCTTCTGTGTCCATTGTCCACTTCATTCCTACAGTAGAGCTGGCATGCAGTAGGCACCACTGGCATTTCATTCTCCAAATGCTTAATACACTAGTATTTTCAGTCATGCCCCACCCCCCTCATCTCCATACCACTGACCTCAGTGTAATTGTCCACTGAGGCATCTTCAGAGGGTAAGAACCAGGGTGAGGCAAGGGAGGCAGCCCTTTCTCTGAAGGAGTAAATGCATGAGCCCAAGAATGAGTGCCCCTTTACATTCTGTACTCAAGGCAGCTCCTTTGCCCTACCCTCATCTTGCCCTGGAAGAGCAGCAATAATGCTTCAAAGTTGCTAAGGGAGTTGTGAACAGGATCAAATGGAAGTGTGGAAGAAGAGGATCCAACTTGAGGGAAATACACAGAGAAGACTGTTTCATGGACAAAGGGACAAAGAGAGGCCAGGCACCTTTGAAACAGTATAAAATGCTCCCCTTATGGGCACAGGCTGATTACAGAAGTGAGAATTTAACATGGGAAGGAGAGTCATAACTTTTCCAGGCCTTGGCACTAAAGAGCCTCTGCCTTCTGTCTTAGAATCTGAACAAGCAAGAGTCTGAGCATACCCTTTACTTCTGCTCATGATCCCCATCCCTTCTGCTTACAGCTCCTGGAGCTCAGGCCCTCATGTTTTTATTTCCTCATTCTTGGTGCTTGGCAGTCCCTTCCCATGGGGAGTCTTCTGTATCCTTAGCAGCTCTATAGGTTGGGCTGGGCTGGGCTCGTTGGTGTTAGATCAGGAGGCTTTACTTCACCTGTCAATGGAGATTTCCATTGTCTTGCCCATGGGGAGTGCTTTGGGGACCCAGTGTGGACCCTCCATGCTTCTCTTCTAATCAAGTCCTCATATTTCTTTATACCTGCATGAAGAGGAGAGGTGACGTGAAAGAGAAAGTGAGCTATAACTTAATAAACTCTCTGGTCCTGTAATTAGGGCTCCCTTTTACCTCTTGGGCAGGAACCAGCAAGACAGAATAATGTGAAAATACTTACAATGTTTGTGCTTCATTTGACAGCTTTACAAAGCAACATCATAGATAGTATTTTGCCTCAGCCTCAGGTCAATGCTATTATGAAGCATCCTTTTACCCAATTTAAGTATAAGGATGCAGAGACTCTGGAGAGTGGGGCGTGAAGGTCTTAGAGGTGAGCAAACAGAGAGGCCAGGATTGTCCAGGGAGACCAGATTCCCAGCCCAACACTCTGTACTCCACTAAATCACTGTACACCTTCTATAGGCCTTCCATGAAAGACCATCTTGGGATGGCACCAGTTCCCACAAAAGCAAACAAACTCACAGACCTGGGTGTAGTGTTAGGTGCTGTCACAACTGGCCTATCACCTCTAAGTGAGCATATCTACCTCTCAAGGTGGCTGAGAGGCAAGCTATGATATCTAAGACTGGATTCCCTTCCAGGCACAGAGAAATACTAAATACTCATTCTTTCCCATTTCTGCTTCTTTTCTTCCTTTCCCAATCTCCCCTCAGACCTGGCTGTAGGAATCCCGGTGGAAGGAGCTAAATCATGCAGCCTGATTCCCTGCATCCCTCCTCCAGGGCAGGGCAAGGCAGGACAAATACTGTGAATGCTTCCTGCTTACAGTACTGCTTCCTGCTTTCAATTTTCTCCTTCATGACACCTTCCTAAAGTGGAAATGCTTCCCCAGGCACATTGTAGGTTACCATGAACCCAGGGGGTTCTTTGTCACATTTACCATCCAGCTCAGGTCCAGGCTCTGACCAGCTGCTGATTAACAAGAGGTTCCTGCTCAGAAGGAGAGCCAGAAAGGCCCCAGGAGAGTTGCCTGACCACCAGCACCAGCAGGCAGCCTCAATCACTGACCTATTCATGCCACCTCCACACCACCACCATTGGACACCAGGCAGACAGCACACCAAGCTAGCCACCGACACTTGATTCGAATTTTGTTTCAGAGGCTCTGATTCATAATTGACCTTTTCTGCACACCCCAGGGCAGAGGGGCCAGATGACCTCAGTTTCTGACCTTCAGGAGGCACTTACAGCTCAGCCTGAGTTAGACAGAAAATGATTTTCCACTTCTGTCCACTCTGTCCTAAGGGCATGTCCAAAGCCCTAATTCTGTCCCTCAAGGAAGAGGCTGCCACCTCTGTGGCATCTCAGACCCCTCGGAAAACACTTCTTAAGCACCGTGTTCTGCCCAGGTTGAATCTCTGGACCTTGCTCCCAAGAAAATAGAGAAAGTTGGAAAAAAAGATCACATTGGAGGGGAGAGGATTTGCATGCAGCTCACTTTCTAATGGCATAGTCACAGACTCGAAGAAAATACTCACAAAAGTCATGGGACTTGAGGAAAATACTATCACGGGTGGGTTAGGGCCAGACTAGAGCTACGGAGACACATGGGGACAACAGAACACAGGTTAGTAAGGCTGGGGCAGGATGGAGGTCCATGCAGCACATCAGGGAGGGCTGGCTCAGCATTCTTGAGGGCTGGGCTGGACCAGCCTCAGACTAGATGTAGAATAACTGAGTACTGGGTGGATTCCCAAGTGAAGTAAGGTGGGGAGAGGCAGGGCTTCTGCCCACAAGAGGACTCACCCGCTGCTTCTGCCTAGGGCTGCCTTCCAGGCCAGGATTTCTTTGTACACCAACCGGCAAAGGAGCTATGGGAATTCAAGGCACAGAGGGAAGGATGTGCACCATGAGCATCAGCACAGACCTCCCTGGCAGCAGAGACGGGGTTCAGCACACAGTTTCACTGGGCAAGGGTCAAGCCTTGGAGGCAAAGTTGTTCTGAGCAAAGGGCAGTTGTTCCCACTGTCCCAGTGCTCCAAGGCTTTTGGTCTCCATGTTCCAATTTGGAGAGACAGGATATCCCCCAATATCCACCTATGTACCCCAAAACTCTTACCAAGCAGGCCAGGATGTCAGCAGAGATGAGCATATAGAAGACGTTGTTCCAGCCTGTAGGAGAAATAAGCCCAGCCAGCAGGGGCCCCAGAGCTGCACCTGTACAGAGCACAACCTCATGAGATAGGGATTCATGCCTTCCCTGTCCACCTGAGGGCAGGACAGACTCAGGTTCAGCTGCCAGGAGTCAAAACTGAAGTCACAGACCTATGGAGCCAGTGCCGTCGATGATGGCTGTGACGGTGGAAAGGGCCTTGGCATTGCCCTGCAGGCTCTTGTGAGTGCCCTGGGAAGAGAAAGCAGAGCAGGGAGGCCTGAGCTGAGCAGCAACATGCAGCAGGACCAAGGAGAGGGCTTTCTCAGGGAGGGTGGTGACTGGGACTTGGGGGTGAGAGGAAAGGGGACTATGGTGGGTTCTGAAGGACTCTGAGGGTCTTGTCCCTATAGGACAGGAGAGAGGAAGAGGGATAGGAGGAAATGAACTTGGAGACAGAGGCCATGACCAAGCTGCCAGAGCAGCCCTGGCACCCCTAGGTGGCCCACTTACCAGGTCAGCTGAAACTGCTGTGGTGATGAGGGCATAAGGGCCATTGACCAGCATCCCACAGACAATCAGCATCACTGGGACAGCAGCAGAGACCATGGTATTAGAGATGAGGGACCACACACAGCCCCAGGCCCAAAGCAAGCAACACCCTCCCAGGCCTCAGCCCACCTAGCCCTCCCCAACCCATGTCCCTACACCAGCCTCAGGGGCCTTCAGTGCACAGTCTTTTTGGTGGCCTGGTGGGATTTGCACCACCTTCTCACCTATGGAGCTGGTAATCCCATTCTGGCCAATGTAATTGTACAGGAACATCTGCAAGAGGAGGAGAAAGAGGCAGAGTCACAGGCTGGCTTCTCCTTGCTGGCCTGGAGCCTCTGAGCCCTTACCTACTCTGGAACCTTAGTTGTCACCTTATTCCTTCTGCCTCATACACCCAGACTTCTCAGGTCTTTAAGTTTCCCAGGGATGGAAGGTCTAAACCATGGTAATCTATTATTTCCATTTCTCTAAAAAGTCTTCTCTTGTATCTAACCTCAATCTCTTTCCCTCTTTTGGTCAAAAAATTTAGCAGCTCATCTCCTTCTTCTCCACCAAAATAATCACTAATCCCTTTCCAAAATCCTCAGTCCTGGTCTCTTTCCAGGGGCCTAATTCTTTACTGGCCCTCCCCCCGATGTGAGCACAGTGATGTACATGCCTGTGTAGAAAGAGACAGCTATGTGCATAAATACAGAAATGGGCACAGAGGTTCAAGGCCCACAGCACCTGCTCACAGACACACACACTTTGGCCTCGAAGTTATACACACCATGGGGGCGGCCAAGATCAGCATGATGCAGCAAGTGGTGGCCCTGCCATTGGTGTAGTCAGAGATGAGCCCTGCCATGATGCCACCTGAAAAACACACCCACTCACATGCTGCCCCCAGAAAGGACCACACTGTCACCATCACTTGCCCAGCACTGGCATCCAGAAAGACCTTCCTCCTCTGTAGCACCTCCCCACCCCGTACCCATCGCTATAGGAAAACAAATAGGAAGGCCACCAGCTGAGCAGGAGTACACCAGAAGACCTTTCTTTTCTGCAGAGAGCTGGGTCATGACCTGCGGCTCTTTCTTTCTGTTCTCCTATAGAGAAGCAGGATAGACATCCTACCAATCAGCCTGTACTCATTGTAGGGTCTCACCTACAATACCACCAACATCGAAGAGTGTAGACAGGTCCCCAGCCTCCTTGGCACCAAAGTGAGCTGTAGAAAACACAAATGCCTAGTCAAACACCCAGGGCTCAGGGCAAACACCACCAGTGCCACAGCCAGAAGACTCCCTTCAGTGCACTGACCCAGCCTGGTTGCCTTCTTCCCAGAGGAAGGAACTGAGGGCCCATGGCACAGTGATTGGTGAGGCCCACAGGGTGAATCTGCAACAGTTTGTATCATGCCCTTTCTGGGCTCCAGTCCTGTACAGCCCTCTTTCCTGAATGATGACCTTTACCTTTCAGAACAGCCCTTCTGCAAGCCCAGGACCTGTCCTCTGAGAGCTCCATGCCAGGGGCCATCTTTCCCCTGAACATGATCACTGCCCAACCAGCCATTTTCCCTGCTTTGCTCCTGCAGACCCCACTAGGAGCCTGGTCTTCCCAGATATCTTTGGTCTTTGCTAAAGCTCAGAGCCAGGAGGAGTCTAACAGAAAGATGGGGACCCTGGCTCATAGGTCTTGGTTCTAGGTTTAGAAAAGGGAACATCCAGAAGTTTAACATCCAGCCTCACCCACAAGGGTGACTCATACTCTGAATTCAGCACCAAAGCCACAAAACAAAGGGTCACAGTGTCTACAAAATCACCCCAGCACTCTACCACTTATCACAGAGAGGGGCCTGTCACATAGATCTGTAGGCAAGCTATAGATCTGGTCGTGACTAATCCCTAGTCTCTTGTTCTGAGCAAGCATATGTGTGGCAGAGCAGGGAGGGAGTAGAACAGCCCTGGGTGAGGTCCTGGGTAAGAGATAGAGCTCTGGGGGTTGGGAGAGTAGAGCTGGCTGCTTCTTTGTAGAGTCTCCCCACCTATGGGAAAACAAGGACTAAGAGCAGATAGACATCAAACAGCCTTTTTAGACCTCAAAGGTGATCTCTTCTCATCTGTACATTCTTGAGCAAGGGCAAGAGTGAGTAGCCCATGAGGTGGGGCAGCTCCCCCCAGTGTAGCCCAAGAGACACAAGCACAGAGGCATCAATTTCATGAGGCCCTTGGGAGAAGAGTTCATGGTCAACACCACACTCCACTAGTCCTTGTAGTAGGGGAGCTCTCCAGGGTCTTCCCTCGGCCAGAGGAGGTAGTCAAAATAGACCTTTTCTAGTGCCCCCAGCCCCACCCACATGTGAGCCAAGCAGCCTGCACTCAGGCTAGAGAAGGAGACAGGGAAAATCACAGAACAGAGCTTTATACTCTCAGCTCCAAGGAGGGCAGGTGAGTGGAGGCAGGGTTGAGGGGTAGTGCATAGTACTCAGCTTTCTACTTAAGTAACTAAACAGATCTCCTGCCCTAGGAGAGGCTCAGCAAAACCTGCCTGTGTCAGGAATCACACTGAGCTCCCTGATGGCAACCTCTTCCACCAACAATGGTCATGTCATCCTCAGAGACCCTTTCTCTCAGCTCTTCTTCCCCTTGGACTTACCTACATTAAAGATATAGAGAGGCAGCCAATAGAGGAAAGTGTAGCTGACCAACTTGGCAAAGAGCAGACACAAAGAGAACTCGATCACACCCTGGGGAATACAACAGAGGGCACAATGAAAAAGGGTCCAAGAGATCTTAGGTTCAATGGTGGCCCCATGGGGTGTCTCAGCACCATACCAGGACTTTCCATTATCCCCACACAAAGCAACCTCAAATACACATCCAATCCCAATAGAAGTAATGTGCCTGCTGCTCCGATACTATGTCAAGTCAAGTCTCCCTTTCAACCCTCCCCAAGCAGGCTACCCCACACATCTGTAAAGAAATTCTGGAAACCAGCTGTCACCCACAGCATCCCATCTCCTGATATCCAATGGAAAAGTCTGTTCTACAAAATTCTCACCGGGATCTTGAGGGCCCCCAGGAAGCTGATCGCAGCAGGCTCAGGGCATGGCTCCTTGGAGCAGCTGGCTGTAGTATCCACGCTGCTCTCCCTGTTACCATAGGGACTGTCTCCAGGATCCTCAGGATTGTCCTGGTCCTTGTCTTGCTCACCCTGAGCAGAGGAGAGGAGCCTTCACTGTGGGCATAGCCATTTATCACCTCCCCCAGCCTAGAGGAGATGTATGTCTCTGTCTTGGACTAGACTAACCTTCTGCCAGACCCACAAAGTTATGGAAAAGCCAACCCAAGGGCCTAACATTGGATCTGTGAAAGGAGATCCAAACACCCTCCTCCAACCTCTAGCCCTCCCTTGGTCCAATCCCTGTGATGGAGTGGAAGGGCAAGGACAGGATTGGGAGGGCTCACACTCACATGGTGTTGTGGAGGGGTACAGTCCACATCTTCTGGATCTGGGGGGAGGGGGGCAGAAAACTCTCTGAGTAGCTTATCAACCAGTCACCTTACACTGAGTCTAAGCTGGTGCAGGGAGCCAGCCCAACACCTCCTAGGTAGCCTCTCAGCATGAGGAAGCAGGTCCTGGGGCTCAGGAGACCAAATGTTTAGGCCTGGCTTTCTTAGAAACCATCACTCCCAACTGTTGGACTACAAAATGGATGTAACACTTGGCCTTGCCCAACTCATAAGGCTGTCAGAGAACGGGGAAGACAAGCAGCTCTCCGCACCAAACATATGAGGTAGGTACTGCGAGCATGGCCTTTTAGCCCCACCTGCCCCTTCCCACAGCCCTCAGATCCAAGCCACGTTGGCAGAGCACTTGCTACAAGAGCAAGCACTTTAACTACATTGTCCCCCTTAAACCTTCAGAAATCCTAGGGAGTAGATAGTACTATTGCTTTACAAATGGAAAAATGAGACTCAGTCATGCAGCTAGTCCTCCAACCCCATGACCAACAATCTTTCCCATGTATCCAGCTGCCTTTTCCCTTGTGTAGTCCTGGGAGGGAGGGGTGCACTCACATTCGATGAGGAAGAGGAAGGTGATGATGCCCATAGCAGCAGTGATGATGCCAGGCACGATAAACGACAGGCCCCACTGGTGGTTCACCCATATGCCAGCAATCAAGGAGCCCAGGATGTTACCCACAGATGTGTGGGAATTCCAGATGCCCATGATGAGCCCCCGCCTAGAGGAGAGGGAAGGAAAGGGGAGAAAAGTAGAAAGAATAACTGCTCTAGCAAGTTCAAAAGGCTGGCTGCCTCCAACCTCTATGAATACCTAAGACTGAGACTCAGAGCTCCCAAAGCACAGTCAACAAGCAGGGGAAGGCCTTGGCCAGAACCAAGCAGATGACAGCACTGCCAAGGGTCCCTCTGCCTTTAGCCAGCTCCCAAGAAAAGCACAGGTGAGAGCTCTTATTACACAGAGGGTGTGGAGCTCCCACTCTTGCTTCTCTTTTGTCCTACAACCTCACTCTAAAGCAGTGGTCCTCAACTGGGGGTGATCCCCTCCCCCCCATATCTGGTAACGTGGAGATTTTTGATTGTCACAGCTGGGGTTTGCTACTAGCATCGCGTGGTGAGATACCAAGGATGCTGCTTAATACCCTACTATGTGTAGGACAGTCCCTATAACCAAGAATTTAATAGCTCAAAAGGCAGCAGCACCAAGAAACCTGGCTCAGAGGAAACCTGTTTTGTTTGTTTTTGCACAACAGCCAGTTCAAGAAAACAAAGACAGTTGTGTGGGCCTCTTTTTGTCTTCATTCAACATGGAAATTCATCTATTAAGAGAAGTACAGCTAAGGCTGCCTGTTCTGTGGGTTAACACCTCATCATTGAGAAAACAGGCAAAATTCTTTAGCCATGGAAACATTTTCATTTCAGCATCTAAAACTCAGCAAATGAAGTACTTTCTGATCGTTCCCCGTGAATGTAGCCATAGGTGACCACTCGAGTAGTCCTAGCCCTCCCGAATCCTTCCCACTCCTCCTTCCTTATCACACTCACTTTCCCTTCCCGAACCAGTTCCCAACGCAGGCCACCACAGAGGGCCAGCCTGTGGTCTGGACAAGTCCATTGCAGATCTGCAGGGAGAGAGAAAGGAGGGTGGGAACAAGCCTGGGCCAGCTCTCTGCTCCACTGCCCTGGGTGGAGGAGGTTCAATGTCACAGCCAAGGAGCCCTCCACACCCCACACTATAAACTTTGCCCTTCCCTCGTGCACATCCACACACACCCCAATGTCACAAGCTTCTCTAGCTCAGGATCGTTTGAGCCGAGACCAAACCTCTCATGCAACTAAAGTGACCTCAAGTGTTCAAGGCAGTCTTACTGAGACAATGATGAATGGCTACTGAGGGTGGGAAGTGGGACCCTGTACAAGGTGGTAGAAAAAGCCCTCTAGTTCCTATCTGCTATGACCTGGGGATGACTGGGGATGATGAGCAGCCACGAGGTCCCTTATACAATGAGAACAAAGGCTCAAGTGCCAGGCGGAAGGGACTCATACCTGGATTAGCACAAAGTACCAAAGCATGTGGATGTTCCAGAAATATCCCAGGCCAAAGAGGGAAGTGAAAAGGCCACTGAGTAGCATTCCAGCTGAAAGATAATAACGAAGGGGGAGCCGCTCCCCAAAAATCCCACTGTAGAAGAGAGTTGGATTTGTGGTTAATCATCTCTATGTCCACCCTGCCACCTCACTTCCCCTATCCCATGCGCTGAAGCCACTCTGGCCAAGGTGACCTCTGTACTCTGCATATCAAGGCCAACCTCAGCTCCCATATCCTGTACTTCTCTGCTTTACTTGATACTGCTGACCATGCCTGTGACAATTCTGTTGCCCATCTCCCTTCTCCTTGGCTGACCACTCCTTGTCACTTAACTTTTCTATTAGAGAAGTCTCTCCCATCACTTTCATGGTTTAACTACCATATATGTGCTAACTGCATATCTTTAGTCTCCATCTGTCCCCCAGAGCTTCAGGATTACATCCAGATGCTCTCTGGATATGAAATCCAATACTCTAAAACTAAATTTTTCCTCATCCTTCCACCACCCTGCCTCCATCGTGCACCACTGATCTGAGTGAAGGGTACCATAATCCACCTAGCCATTCAAGCCAGTCGAGGAGCTATCTCAGGCTCTACCTCTCTCTCCTACCCCTCACAATTATTTTCCAAGGCCCAACCATCCTACCCTCTCAAATCATTATCCAGTGTGCTGACCCTTTCCATCTCTGTTACCACCATAGGAACTCAAGCTGTCCTCAAACTCAGTAGCTTGGGCTGCTGGCAAATTAGCCCCTGGTTATGTTTAGCCTTGCCCTCCCTCAAATCCACCTTGGCATCACCCTGAAAGTGACCTATCTGAAATGTAAATCTGGGTATGATCCTCCAATGGTCCCCTCCCACAGGACCTCTGTAAATGACCTCATCTTCCAGCCCCTTCTGCTCTTTCCTCCCTTGAATCTCCCCCTCCAGTAAACCTGTGAACAGTTCTTCCTGCACACACACTGTTTCTCCTCTGCTTTACTGTCTTCATGCTGTGCCTGCTGCCTGGATCCCCTTCTCTACTGCCAGGCCCATGGGCTCTTTACCAGCTCCGGGTGCATCACCTCCAAGAAGCCTTCCCTAATCTCTATTCTCCACCCCCAACTTGGACTGCATGACTACCTCAGAGCTCCCAGATCACCTGATGGCCACCTCTGTCCTAGAACTACCTCATTGTTTTAAAATTAACTGTTGACCTGTGGGTCACTCCACTTAGCTGTGAGCTCTTTAAAAACCACACCCACCTTATCTACTTATGATTCCTTGAAAGAGCTCCAGGCTTGTTATGATAGACCCTTGCTGGCTGTACTAGTTTAAACACAGCCCTGAAGGATCTTCCTGGGCATCTCTACATCAAGGTCATCCTCAGAGGACCCCTATCCATACCAACCAGTGCTGCTATCTGAGTGAATCAACTCAAAAGGAGCATCCAGAAAACCTTCTAGGAAAAAGGGCTGCCAACAGTCTTGTTGGGTACTGTGAGGAAAGGAGGCTGATGGCCTGGGCAGAAGTCTTGGCCTCATTCCCTCCTGGAAGAGCTATCAGCTTTCCCTTAGCCTGATGCCTCCAGATCAGTCAGGGGAGGTGGCAGCTCTGAACTATCCCACATTGGATGGGCCCAAGCTCTGCCCTGCTTTACCTGATAAACATGCCAATGGCATAGGCCACAAGGAAGGCATTGTCCACAGCCCCCAGTAACTCCTTGTAGTCATCTTTGTCTGAAAGCAGATGGGAGAAACAGAAAGTTGGCTGCTTAGCTGCCCTTGAAGGAAGCTCTTTCCTTTCTGGAAAAGAGCAACATGCCCTGTTCTTACCAAATGGACTCCAGTTACACCATGTAGTATCATTGAAACTGTGACTGTCATTGATAGGGTTGATCAACTCTGAGCAGTTCTGGTGTAGACGGCTCTGGAAGGCAATGGCATGCTTAGGTCAGGGGTCATCTCATCAATCCAGAGCTCACTTGGCCCATAAAGGATCAAACAACTTCCTACTCCAAACAACAGCAATCCTGTCTCCCCATCAGAGTCCATGCTCCCTCTTGGCAGTACCTCCTTCAGCAGGGACTGACCACAGGGGGAGGTAGCCACATCAGACCTATGAACAGAACCTACAGGTCCCTGGGCACCTTCTTCTCATCCCATCCACACCCCCTGATTCTATTGTCTTGGTGAATAAACTCAAAAGGAGCACCAACAGTAGGCATCCATCAGGGGGAAGAAGCAGTCTCTGTGACCAGGGTTAGGTTTGTTGGATGGTGATGGCCTGAGGTCCAGAAGATTCTGCCTATGTGTGTGTCTGCAGAGCCTTACCAGCCAACCTCACCTTGACAATGCTGATAGGCTTCCTGGACATGTGATAGCAGGTATATATGAAGAAGGTGAGCAGCAGGATGAAGCCACGGAACCTGCAGGAGAAGACAAGCATCCACGTTAGCAGAAACATGGCTTCCAAAAGAAGAAAGCAGCATCTCATTGTGCAGGCTCTGGCAGTCCAGAACCTCAGCACCACCAAATCTCTACCTTTGGGCTCTTTTCTAGGCACAAGTTCCTGGGGCAGAAGCCAGGAGGCTTGGAACAAGGGGCTTCTGAGGCTTCTGGCAGAACTGGCTGGGTGCTCACTAGGCATTGCACTCTGAGGGGTGGCACCTGCCCTATGCCTGCTGCCTTCCATACCCTCTGCTCCTCTGGGACCCCACCAAGGCAAGGTACTTCTGAATCTGGGAGTATACCTTAGAGGTGGCCACAGGGAATTGGGATCATTTTCTAAATGTCAGAAATGATAGAGGGGGAGGGAGCTAAAGGGGAGAAGTTTCTGTCTTCAAAGTGGAGTTAATACACCCCTTAAACTTAAAACATAGCAGTTAGAGCCCAGCTCACAGTTAAAAGTTGAGTCAGCCAGAGCAGCTGGGGGTAGAACCCAAGTCCCCTCTCTCCTAGTCCCAGGCTGGTCCACTGGACACAAGGATCATTTTTTTCCTCTGTGGCTCACACATTCCATGTGCCTCTCCTGCCCTGCTTTTCCTCCCATGTGCTGGCCAGATGGAAAGAACAGTCCAGTCATGCACCCCACAAAGTTTCCACTGCTCTACAGCCACAGGTCTGAGGAAGGGCCTTCAGAGCCTGCCTGAGTCACTGTCTGCTTCCCCAGCAGGGCATCAGCTGAGCTCAGTCAGCAGCGGGAGCCAGGAAGTACAAGGAAAATAGACCTCAGAATGGGGGCTGAGCATGCATCTCGGGGGTCAAGTGCATGTTTATATGCTCAGGATTCTGGGTTCGGTCCCAGCACTACCAAAAATTAAAAAACCAGAAAGAAAAAAGGAATGCCTCCCTAGAGGCAGGGAGAAAGGGTCAGACATTAGGGAAGAGCTATGTCTCTGGCTCATTAAAGATCTCATGAGAAGGGTGGAGGACAAAGGTGGGAGGACCCTGGAACCCCTTCCCTCAGCTCCATGAACCTGAGGGCAGACCCTCAGACACTGTATGCTCACCGTACCCCCTCTAGAACCTGCCTCCAAATCCCAAGCTCACTTCCCCCAAACATGCCATGAAGCAATGCAGGCTATATCCCTTGTGAAATAAAGGGTGTTTCAGCAAACCTGAATTTGGGCTGGATTATCAGGTCTCTTCTTATTTCACCCCTCCCCATGAGCTCCCTACATGAGTCTCTGTCTCCATTCTCTCTAATGCCTGTTCCAGTTTATCGTCTTAAGAAAATGAACTTGAACATGCCCTTCTTCATTACTTTGCTTAAAATTTTTTACTATCTTTCCATTCCAATAAGAATGAAGTTCTAAGCTAGGTATGGTGAGGCACACCTGCAATCTCAGCACTCAGGAGACTGAAGCAGGAAGAAAAAAAAGAATGGAATTCCTACCCTTTGGAAGACCCAGCCTCCTTGGCTACTAGTTCCCAGAAGCACCTGGGTAGGTCACAAAAATCTTCTAAGGACCTCAAGTGCTGTCACAGTGACTGGCATTAGCAAGCTTGGTGGCAGAAGTTTTCTGGACTCATAATTGCCAAATGACTCATGATTCCTAATTCAGGGACTTGTAGGTTTCTTTGAGAGAATTGGAGAGGGTGCCCAACTGGCCTCTGCAAAGAGTAGAAGATTCAAGAGAACTGTGACCCTACAGATAACATCAGGCCAGTACCCTGCCTGGTCCAGAAAAAAAACAGAAAGCTTTGAGTGATGCCTCTCACTTACTGTGTGAGCCATTTATGCCTCCAGTTTTCTTATCAATTGTGCATAGATGGTTCTAGATTTTTTTTTACCCTTATCCTAGTCCCCAGATCCCTGGTGATACCCCCTTAAAGAATCCCAGACCTCAGCTGAGTCTACCATGGCTGACTACATGCAGGTGCCAGGGCCCTTACCAGGACCTGTGGCCTCTGACCATAGTGATAAATCCTATCTTCTCTGGTTTTGAAAGACCTCCAGGAACCAAGGTCCCACTGAGGCCCCTGATAGGCCCTGCAGTAAGGCTTTGACCAGTTATGGAGCCTGCTGTTGGCTGGGAAGCCAAGCTCAACAGATATGCTGAGCCCTCTCAGAAGCCAGGCAGAGCCAAAGAAAGCAAAGAAAGCTGCTGGCAATCCTTCACTACCCACCCCAACTTCCCACTACCACACCTTTTCAACCCTTGCACCAGGAGCTGCCCAGCAAGGAAAGCCTCAGCCCACCATTCCCTGACTTTCTCCTGCCTGTGGTACCAGGTGTTCTCCTGTCCTTCCCAACCACAGGTAGGAGGAGCTGTGCCAGAGAACAGACACACTTGTGCCCATCTCTAACATCCTGATTCTCTTGGCAAAAACAAAACTGCTCTTTCACTTGCCCATGTGCCTACCATGCCCTAGTACCACATTAGAGATCCAGAGATACTAAGAAAGATGATTAAAGGGATCTCTAAGTTGAGCATGGAGGCACAAGCCTGTAATCCCAGCACTCAGGAGGTTGAGGCAGGAGGATCACAAACTCCAGGCTAACCCGGGTTACACAGTGAGACTCTATATCAAACAAAAAAAAGCGGGGGAGAAGAAGGGAGAGAATCTCTGTCCTCCTGGAGCTCCCAGATCAGTGGGAAGACAGACACACAGAATTGATTTGACTGCATGACACAGGAGCTCAGAGAGAGGCACCAACCTCAGTAGGATGGAAGTAGTGTCAGGCAAGGATTCCCAGAGGTATGACTTTAAAAATAAGTAGGAGGCATCCAGGCCAACCAAGGCTGGGCAGGGAGATATGCCAGGGAGAGGAAGAAGTGTGTACAAAGGCACAGAAGCGTGAAATAACACTACCTGTTTGGGAACACGGCATAGTTCAGGATATCTGGAAGGTGGGACTGCCAAGTGTGGAAGTAGTAGCTGGGAAGAGGCAAGGCCCAGGTGAGTTCAGGGTCTTGGATGCCAAGCAGTAGAGTTTGGGTATCTCTTGAGGATGATGGGAATGCACTGGAGCGGCTGGCATGTCCTAGGTCAGGGTGCTATGGGCACCAGCCAGGCAAATCCAGGGGTGATCCACAGGGCTCTACCCTTAATAACATTTGTGGGATGCCCAGACAGCCTTCCTCACTGCAGGACAGGGCCAATTTTCCATCTTGCCAGCTGGACACACAAGAGCATTTCAAGGCCCCCTAAGTGGTATATTTCAAGAAGTTGATGGCTATAAGAGAAATGACTAAGGACTTAGGAATCAGGCTGTTTCCTTTCTTAAACCTGTTTGCTCCACTAAAAACTGTCCATTTATCACTTATCTTTATAGACTACTGATAAGTTAGTGAGACGATGTCTATTACTGGCCTGCTAGCATTCCTGACACCCACTGGTTGCTTAAATGTGGCAGCTAGTGTTGTTTCAGATTTGCATGTGAGGAAGCAGAGCTGAAGGGAGCTGAGGCAGCCCTTGCTGCGCTGTTGCAGGAGCCATGGAAGGCACCAAACTCTACCGAACTACAGTTCTAGGTCCTAGATTCACCTGGAAGGTAGATATTTGGAGGCCAGCATTGGCTCCCCACCTCTCTAGGATGCATACCTGTTCTCCATGGACATAAAGGCCTGAGGCTGCTAGTGCCCTCGCCTTGTCAGGGGTGAGTGGAAGGTCTACAGGGGAGCCCGCAGTGGTACTGGGAAATGACCCTGGTCTGGTAGGGCCTTCACACCACTCCCTCAAGACAGGAGGATCAGCAGGGCTCACACTGGCATCCTGACCTGTGATTTTCAGTCCTTCCTTCCTCTAGGGCCTGCCCAACCTAGACTTTATCCTCCAACAGAAAACCTGAGCCCCAAGTGAGTAGGAGAGTCATAACTCCTAGGCCAGGGGTCCTCAGCTGTGCTGTGTGTGCTAGGCCTGGTACTGGTTTTCTCTGGGACTTCCTACATGGACTCCAGAGGATGGAGGGATGAGCTCAAAGTCATACTACTGACTGGGCCCAGCACACTTAGGGCTAGGCCTCCTCCTAGTCCTGTGTCCTGCTTTGTCAGATATTCTGAGAAAAAGGTCCAAGTGCCATCATTCAAAGGGGCCTGTGGACAAGGGGCAAGTTAAGGGCTGGGTTATGCTGAGGCCAAGGCTGCTGAGCTCAAAGCCAGACAGTGAGCGTTCCTGCAGCAGGCAGGACCCACAGGTTTCACTTCTCTTCTCACAAGTCCTTCCCTTCAGAATCAAGAGGCCCCAGGAAGGGAAAAGGGTACAAAACATGCATAGCTGTGAGGGGACAGATGGCAGTCCCAGTGCAGGGCCCAGCTGGGCAAGCAGGCCAGGAGCTGCTGAACATTAGGAGCAAGGCCGCCAAGTGATTCCAGGTGGGGCCAGATGCCCCATGACCCTCTAAGTCTCTGGTAGCAAGAGGAGTCACTTCTTTTGAGTCTCAGCTCCCCCACCAGCTACTGGCTACTGAATAGCCAAGTCAGAAGGAGAGGGGAACTACCTCTCTTTTTTTTTTTTATTCATATGTGCATACAATGCTTGGGTCATTTCTCCCCCGTGCCCCCACCCCCTCCCTTACCACCCACTCCGCCCCCTCCCTCTCCTCCCACCCCCTTGATACCTGGCAGAAACTATTTTGCCCTTATCTCTAGTTTTGTTGAAGAGCGAGTATAAGCAATAATAGGAAGGAACAAGGGTTTTTGGAAACTAGCTATCTCTTAACTATTAGCTGACAGTCCTTACTCCTTGGAAGCAACATAGTAATGATTTTACTGACGTTGTTAAGACATTGCACTAAGAATGCTTCCAGAGGGGGAGGAGGAGGGAACCGGGTGTGCTAAAGTAACAATGGATCAAAAACAAACAAACAACACTCCCCAGGTCCCAGGACCTATCATCCCCACCACTACAATAACAAATAAACCAACAAGAACCAGCCCAGCAGAGGGTCTCTGGCCCCTTCTCCCTGTGAGTGGCTACCCAC